AGATAAATATATATATATTTATCTTTGACTTTACATTGTTCCATAATTATTCTTACCATACTTTATAAATATGAATTTTAGAATTTTTTAATACACTACAAACAAATTCTAGAAAATTAATAATAAAGTCTTGTAATTTAAGCCTATACTGTTGTAGGAATCTTCTTTGCAATTATAACAATTTAAGACATTTAAAATTTTCTCAAAATAATTAAAAACTATCAATTATATTATTATTTGTTGATAAATAAATGACTGTTTAAATAAACATACAGGTGTCCCAATAATCTTTCTAGACACCTATTATATAAATTCATAACACAAAAATGAAGTAATCTATTGAAATGTAATTTGTGGTAAAAGAAAGAATTACTCAAAAAGTATTTTATTAACATACATTCAATAAATCTTTGAATTCCACAGACTGCTACAGAACACTTCTCTAAACTGTTCCACAGATTCATCCGATGTCAAAGGCAACATAATCTCAAGTGTTGAACACTTCCTGTGTCTAAAATTTCTTCATCCGAACATAAATTGAAGAAACACTTGATGGTGTCTTTTTGTACTTCTTGCAATACTTTCTTTGCATAGTTATGATGACTTTGTTTCAGCTAACCACAATACACAATCTGCTTTTTCCTATATTATCACCATTTTTAATTCTGCAAACTACTAATATAAACTTTCTTTTACTGTAAACTGTATTTCAATAAACCATTTCATTTTTGTGTTATGAATTTGTATAATAATAAAGATCTTTCTTAAACATCCTATAAATTGAAACAAACTTATTCCAAACATTCATTTTGATCATTCTACTATGCATCTGTTCATATTAAATTTTAATTTAAAAATAATGAAGGATACCTAAATAAATATTTAATAAATAATTAATAAAAATATTTCAACAAATTTAAAACTTACTTATGTCCCTTTAATGTCTTAAGACATTTCCAATTTGAAGAAGACCAGACACATATTGTCCCATCTTCACTACTACTGAATAAATGAGAATCCTTGAAAAAACTCAAGCAGGTAATTGTTCCTATTAAACAATAATTAATTATTATAAACTATTACTTTCAATGATCAATTACATAAATTTAAATAATAATTTCTGTAAAAAATAATACTTCTAAAAATTCAATCATAAAATAATTATCTTTTATTACAATAAAAATAAAATTTTAATAATGTACAATTTCTGTAAAATCATGACAAAACTTGCCTAATTATTAATGAAGTGGTAAGCTAGATACTGCATTAAACAAATATCTGTTAATTCTAAAATATTTGAAAGAACAACAATAATACTTTACATATAAATCAAATGAAATAAAAATTACTGATTTCTGTACTTGAATGTTCTTTATGATTTAATGATATTCATTCATTGTCTTAAGTGAAAGAAATGTTACCACACTTAACTAAAATAAATGTTCTATATCTTTTTCTGATTGTGCCAAATGAAATGTTCATCAAAACCAGTTTATACTATTATAAGACAATATATAAATAGTAATAATCATTTTCAGAAATCTTATGATATAAAAATATCTTACCACTATGTTGAACTATGTTTCCAATTTCCTTTTTTGTTTTTAAATTGAATATCTGAATAGTTTCATCAATACCTCCCGAAACTAAAAATTTATGCGAAGTTGCTATACAACGAATAGGTCCAATATGTGCTTGACAAGCAAATGTTTGTTGTAATTTATAATCCTAAACAAAACATATTAAGACTGTATTAACTATTTCTCTTTAATTAAGAAATCAAATTCAATTATTTAAATTTAAATATATAAATACTTTAACTATTTAAATTTTCATATATATTAAATGTTTGCATTTTTCTACAAATANTGAAATAAAAATTACTGATTTCTGTACTTGAATGTTCTTTATGATTTAATGATATTCATTCATTGTCTTAAGTGAAAGAAATGTTACCACACTTAACTAAAATAAATGTTCTATATCTTTTTCTGATTGTGCCAAATGAAATGTTCATCAAAACCAGTTTATACTATTATAAGACAATATATAAATAGTAATAATCATTTTCAGAAATCTTATGATATAAAAATATCTTACCACTATGTTGAACTATGTTTCCAATTTCCTTTTTTGTTTTTAAATTGAATATCTGAATAGTTTCATCAATACCTCCCGAAACTAAAAATTTATGCGAAGTTGCTATACAACGAATAGGTCCAATATGTGCTTGACAAGCAAATGTTTGTTGTAATTTATAATCCTAAACAAAACATATTAAGACTGTATTAACTATTTCTCTTTAAGAAATCAAATTCAATTATTTAAATTTAAATATATAAATACTTTAACTATTTAAATTTTCATATATATTAAATGTTTGCATTTTTCTACAAATATTAACAAACCTGTTTTTCTTTTATTAATTTATAGCCTAACAGATAGTGCTCATAAGTTCCGACTATAACTTCCATGTTAAAAGTTACAGACCACGTGTTGAAATACGATGTGAAATACGCTGTCAACAAATTAAGTGTTACAGTGTTGCCAATTATACAAATAATCTTGTTTTCAAATTTATAATTACATACACTAATATTTTACTTAATAAACAAATTAGATTAAATTACTTTTAAAAACAAATATATATATATTTTTCGTAAAGCAAAACAAATGTCGCTGAACAATTGAGTCCTAATAGTCGAGATTTTTTTTGTAACTCTTTCCGCCCTGTGGGCACTAAGAAGGCCTCTTTTAGCAAGTCCATTATGGGTTCGGCTAGGTCCACAATAGGGCGGCCGGGTGATGAGACACGGGGCCGACATATTCGGTCGGATTACTCCCCGAAAAATTCCTGGAATTTTTCAACCCGTTCGGAGTCGATTCCGGATCCTCCAGAGTGGTAGACTGCCACCTTGACCGCTCGGCCATTCGGCCGTCTTGACCCGGGACCTAGGATAAATCCGGGTAGGTCGAAGACTCCACAGGAATTTTTTAAGTGTAAATCGTTGCGGACCTTACACCTTCAACTTTTAACGTAATCTATCGAAGAACACTGAACTTATTTCTATGCATGGTAGAAGATTTTTCTGCAATGGTTTCTGTTCTTTGTGTATCTTAACACAGCACAGATTTTGTTTTATTTTAGTTTTTATTACTAAAAGTTGTTAAAAACAATTTTAAAGTTCTGAAATTTTGAGTAGAAGTCTCCTAAATATTAAGTATTCTTTACAACACATTCAATCACATATACTTGTAAATTATTAAATAAAGGAAGAAGACATTTTCCTACATTTATACATCATAGTAATTTAAAGGATTCCTTAGGTTTAATTTCATGTAAATAATAAGCACATCAGCGTCGTGCCGTGACATTTAATAGTAGGAAAGCTGTGTTTCTGTAAGAAGCCGACTTCCAGGGGCAATCAGTTAATTGCGCGTCAGTGATGGTCAAGGGTCCATTCGTATCGTTTGTTCGATAAGCCGGTAAAAACCGTAGACTTCTCTAAATGTATTTTTAATTAATACCACAATTACATTCCGAATCGTTAGCCACGATATAAGGGCTACAATTATAAATAAAATAATAAAAACTTACTTAGTGAAATAAAATATGTGGTGGATGTACTGTACAGTACATACCTGGTACAAAATATTCTTCAATTATATTAATATATTTTTAAAGAAAATTATAATTAAATATAACTTTGTAAAGAAACGTACATAAAAATAACATAAAATCTTCTTTACTTTTTAAATCTGAAAACAATCCACTTATTCAAATAGCTCCCTACGAGTGACTAATGGATGGAATCAGAGACGGTCCTGATAGGTGCATGCACGCGGGCTGCAAATACCGAGGGTGCCGATACCGGTCAATGTCAAATGCCTCTTTTGTCGCATCACTAGTATACCTAAAAGGACGCGACAGGGTTGTTGTACATTTTAAACGTTTCTCGCCATAGCTGTAAAAATCTAAATATGTTAAACTTAATAAATCGTCCGTCGTTTGTTTTCTAACTAATTAGTTTTAGGACCAGGGTCCACGGAAATTTCCAAAATTTACAACTTTTCGGACATTGCCATTGAACTGGAAAAATTTCTCTCTTTATTACATCTAATATTACGAAGAAATCAGTCCCCACTATACTCGGCTATAGATTGGTTCTAACCGAACCAAATTTTACTTAAACAAAAGCTTAACCAGCTTTTGTTTAAGTAAAATTTTGGCTCTTTCGTCAGGGTTTTGTTTATGTCCCCAATTCCCTAATCGCTTAATTATTTAACTACTTCTTAAGTAGAAATAAGTCGAAACCAGTTACTTTGTACTCGAATATTGGTAGTCTCGGGGAAAAAAGTGGAAAGACAAATTTTATGACAAACGGATACATAAATCGTAAATTTAAAGAAAATAAATTCTAGAGCTTTTCCTGTACCTCGTGCATCTCTCTCATTCATTAAATTTAGTTATAAATGATGCTGTCAAAGTAACGGTTAATTTTTTAACATTATACAAGAATTGTACACGTTTTTTCCTACATCCCCTTAAAAATGGGACATACGAAATCGTAATATCACTGGTTTAACATTGAAATTCGTAATATAAAATCGGAAAGCGGAATAAAAATATCAAATATTATAATGGATTTTTTTAAACTCATGTCAACTATATAGAACTATCATAAAAACATACAGGTGGATTCTTATCGGTTGGGTTAAGTTATAAATCTACTCGCGATTCACGTAATCGGGCGAGGGCGGTCAAATATCTAGCGGGCAGGCGGCTAACAGCCCAGAACCGGTCCTGGATAGAATTGGATGAGTTATACGTGTAGCATCCACCCGAGGTTCTAGGCTTCCACCGGCTAAACCGGGCGAGGTTGGTGCTCTGTAAAGCGCGTGCGCGAATCTGGCTTTTTTGGATGCTGACGATACAGCGCTTCCACTCCGCCACTAATATTCGAATATACAATAGCAATATTAATTTTTTTTACGTGTACTATAGAAATTTGTAATAAGATGCATAATGCGGTTATAATAAAATATTGTGCGATTATTTTCATATAATTAAAATTAATATGTATTTATTTTTTAGAAAATACAAGGGAAGGGGCGCATCTACCGCTTCCAATGACGGCACACCACTGAAGCACATTGTTCAATAAGTACCAAATAATATATTAATTTTATAAAAATTATCGATGATAAAATAATTCTTACTTTACAAGTTACAGATTAATGCTATAATTTCATTAAGTACAAAAATTTACTTACGTGATTATTCATGATATTTTGAATTGCTTCAATAAAATCTAACTTGTATTTCCTTTATTAAATTTAATACAAAAAGTAGCAATTAGAGGATCTTGCAATCAGGAGGCAATCAGGTGAAATTTGAAATTTCCTGGCTAGTTATCTTTTTCCAACAGCTTTTAAATGAATAAAATGGTCACATTATTCCTATCTAGAAGATATTCTAGCAAGATAAAGAGAGGATAAAAACTAATCTTTCATAATAAAGTAATTATAAAATAACAACTTTAAACTGCTGTAATAAGGTTATAATAATAATAATAATATTCTATGTTTAAGGATAACAAGCAACTTGAATAATTGGAAAAAAGCAGTATGCCAATTATATTTTATTTATATATTTATAGGACAACTTTAGAAACACGCATAGCTCACACGTTGCAAGTTAATTACTGTCGTAAAAATTGGTGTTTTTAGTGATGCTAAGAATACTTATTTACTTTTTAAAATTCTCTCCGCCTTGTGGGCACTAATGAAACCTTATTTAGCAAGCCCATTATGGGTTCGACCAGGCTGGGTGATGAGGGACGGGGCCCGACATATCCAGACGGACCATCCCCCGAAAAATTCCTGAGGATTTTTCCACCCGTACGGATTCGATCCCGGGTTCCAAGAGAGGTAAACTGCTATCTTGACCGCTTGGCCATCCCAAATTCCTCATAGAGATAGGCCGACATCTTAATTTCATTATATACTTATAAAATGTAATTTCAAAACTTTTCTTGAAACTATTTGTATAATTATACGCTTTATATGACGTAGAAATATTTATAAAATTTACTTAATTATAAAATTATATCTAATAATAAACCGTTGTTGATATTTGGCAACTTTAATCCGAATACATTGAATGCGGACGCCATCTATCGAGCGTGATGGGTCCTAAAAGTGGTGTATACGGCATGGATCGGACAGGAGCCACTGGCCAATCAGGGCAATGCACTCCGTCTATGCGGTTTATTTTCATAATATTATCATGTATCTCTCCGCGCCGGTTGAAACGACTGAAAAGTGTCATTTAAAATTCTTCTTTCTATCTGTTATTATAAATTAAATCAATAAACAGTAAATCTTTACCGTTTGCCTTCAAAAATTATCGTTTTCTGGAAGGTAAGTAAAATTCTAATGCTATTTTACCAGCTAAGAAAATCAACGATATGGGTGTTCCTATAAATCCGTTTCGTTCATGCGATAAATAAGTAAAATGATTTATTTTAAACCAGAAAAAAAATTTTTTTTTCTTTTTTTAAATATCCGGCCATTATCTAATGAATTCTTAATAATTTATGAATCTAATAAATAAATTTACATCTTTAGTATTTTTTAAATCGCGCATTTTTTCTTAAAGCTAGATCATTTGTGCGCTATATGTGAAGTTTGTTATGCAGTGAATACATTTTTACTGGAACACAAATTAAATTATAAGCACAAACACATTTTCATTACTTGTTTATGAAATTGATTACTTATATTAAATCAGAAAAATAAGCAGATGTTATTTTTTCATTTATTTAATATTTTTTTATTCTAATTTCCAGAAAATCAATGAATTTAATTTGGAAAAATAAAATAAACTAATTTTTTTTTTTTTTAAGTTGAAATTCTTTAAATTTGTTTTTTGTATTATATACAATTATTTGTGGTTTATTTGTGTGTTTATATAATGAATATTTTAGAAATTTAAAATAATATTTGTTAAAATTTAAGTCATGGGACAACATCAGACCCCTGCATTGCATCTTCGATGCTTTAAAATTAATTGTAGCTTATAACTTGAAATTATATGCAGTAACGTAAGTTCTTAAATCAATTAGAGTGTATATGTATATATGTATATATATATATATAAATATCCCAAGAACACAATGTATATATATTAAATTTGCATTTTTTAAAAAAATTTGAAGAAAGAAAAAGGATTTGTTTTAATAAAACAACTAAAAAAAATTATAATAAAAAATATTTTATTAAATTATCACTTTTTGAAATATTTTAAAATAATATTTTCAGTTTGATTTATTAAAATAAGCATATTTTAAATTTATTGTTGAAATATAAAATTTTTAAATAAAACAAAACTTTATTTTATATATCCAATAAATAAACATACCATATATATATGGTATGTTTTATTTTAAGGTAAATTTATTTTAAGGTATAGTTCCATTTCTTAGAAAGTTGCTATTACTGATTAAATTGACTGTTTATATATATAAACAGTCAATTTAATCAGTAATAGCAACTTTCCATATAAGGTTTTAAATATGTAAAAATGAGATGAAATTTTAACAGGACTTGCATAAGTAGGATTAAGGTATGTTACAGCATCAAAAAAATTCTGAAAAGAAATTACCATTGCTATTGGGTTGTTCAGAAAGTAATTTTGTTTTTTTTTTCCTGTGGAAAAAAACACAATATTTTTATAATAAATAAATATTTTATTGAATTATATATCGACCATCTTGGTCAAATACCTGTTGTCATCGTTTCTGGTAGTAGCATGATTCCACGTTCATAAAAGTTTTGATCTTTGCTTACAAAAAACAGATCCAAGTGATTTTTGACATTTTCATTTCAAGTAAATGTCTTAGTTTAAAAAATTTTGTATAGACCAGAACAAGTAATAATCTGAAGATGCCTGGTGATAGCACATCCCATCTAAGTTATAACAGTTTCTGAGGAGTTACCAAACTTGTGTGAAATTTGGCATTATCATGGTAAAACACTACATCTTTTTTGTTGGTCAATTCTGGCCTTTTCTGTTTGATGGTATTACTCAATTTGTTTACTCGATGGCAGTATACTTTTGAATTAATTGTTAAATTGTCTGATAAAAGCTCAAAAAAAAAAATTCCTTAAAATCCCACCAAAGAGAGCAACTCTCTTTTTAAGAACATGTGGAACCCATATATTGAGCTTTGAAATAAAACCAATTCATTTCAAGTAATCGTAAACAGTTCATTTTAACAAATTTAATTTCTTAGTGACTTCATGTGTTGTTATTTGCAGTTTGCTTCAATGGAGTACCTTTATTTTGTTTTCATTGGCTTTAACTGCCCATCCAGAACGTGGTGCATCTTCAGTATTGAAATTGCGAGAACGAAATTTTGTAAACCAGTTTTTGCACTGTCTTTCTCTCAACACATCATCTCCATACATGTACCACAATTTTTTTCTTGCTTGAACAGCATTTTGATTTTTTGGTAATAAAAAAGCAAAATATACTGAAAATGATGCTTTTGATTTTCCATATTTATTGGGACACTGAAAAAAAAAACAATTATACAGAATAAAACAAAATTTTTTACAAATAAGCCTTAAAATGTCAGCTATCAAAGTATATAATGAAAATTTGGTTTAAAATGAAATTGGCTAGTAAAAATACATCTAATTAATTCCTCTAGTAATAAAAAAATGAAATTACTTTCCAAAGAACCCAGTAGATTAAAAATTATGAAAGACAACTTTCTCATTTAGAACTTATTATGTTCATAATTTATAATAATAAGTTCTGAATGAGAAAAGAACAAATTAGTGTTAACTAGAGACACACAAATTACCTTATGTACTTTTCCAGCAACTTAATTTTTAATCAAACTAACATTTTCTACTTGATTAATTAATAACCCTTTATTAGGTTTTTGAACAGAGAATCAGTTTGGAACGATATTTAAAATTACATTATTTTTGAATGATTTTAAATTAGTGATATTGTAGTGTCCTATGAGCACCGAGGTTACTCTGGACAAAGAGTAGGGTAAAAGACTACTGTTACTCGAGGATTTTACACGAGACAAACAACATGTATCAATAATAAGAAAATATTTAATGAATGTCAATTACGATAAACTAGGGTTTATCACTACAAAATTTACATAAAAAATTTTAAAATGCTAGCGTCAATATTTAACTAGTCTTCACGGACACAGAAATAGAAACATTTACTTTTTTTTTATACAAACACTTCACAGAAATAATTCCTACGTTGAACTAATCTGTACGTCTCTTCAAAAAACTCCTGTTGTATTTCAGGGTCGTCTAAAAATTGGTATCGTCCATGTAGCTCCGTCAATGCAGATGGATTCCGCATGTGGTGAATCCCCGTCTTCCTTTGTTTCAGTCCACTAGTACTACTCGTCCACTCCGGCGCACCTCAGCCCATCCGTCTCAGTCCTTGTCCACCCAGAAAAAGGGTACCGTACACATGGGATGGCAAATTTTATAAGTCCTGCCATCGTGCACGTCACCACTCGTGAACACAGCACAGCCAATCGAGACAACTGGGCTGTACCACCCAAGTAAAAGATGGTTTTTCACAAAAAAAACGAAAGTTACAAATTACAAAAAGAAAACAGGTACGGAAAACGAACCTTGCACAAGAAAGGTATATAAATACAAGTGCCTATCCCAAGAACAATAGTGACGCAGCACTACAATATTAAAATATTTCTTCAAATTCATATAAACAGAAAATTTGTTCATTGTCAATATTGGTTTTTCTTTGAAATCAACAAAGTTTATTTCAAAGATTTGGAATAAAGTTCCAAGATATTTTAAGATCTAAAGAAAACTTGAAAACTACTTTATTGAAATATTGACAGTATTGCAAATATAATTTATGATAGAAGTTATTTGAACTACTCAATGCAGATACATGTTATAGATTTTCACTATATTTTCACAGGTCTGGATAGGTCTAAAAATATCTGGAGATATTTCGACTTGTCCATTCGGATATGTTGGGCCCCATCTCTCACTACCCGGCCACCCCATTGTGGGCCGGGTTTACATAGTTGTGGTTTACTCCTTGTTTTAAATGCTTTTTTTTTTTTTTTAAACAATTTAAAACAAGGAGTAAACCACAACTATATTACTTACAGAAGTAGTAAACTTCTGTAACTCCAGTTAAGTAAACTTAAATAATGACAAACTTTTAACCAAAGTATCTGGTTTTATTCAATATATCTTATTTAATTTATTGCAGAGATATAATATTGTAGAAGTTCAAAATTTATACTATTAGTAAAGAGAGGAGACCATTAATTTGGAAAATTTCAAGAGATAAATTGAGAAAAATGAGATCTAAGTAATTGTTACAATTATGATAGATTGAAAATATGCAAGACTGTTTAAGATTGTACTCTCATTGACAAAAAAGTTATGCTCACAGCTACAATTGGCTGATTACTATAAAACTTGGCATACAGCTGTCTCAGATAGTATAGAAATGATTACAGTAGTGGTCTGATTGCATACCAGGTAATGCTACAAGAGTGCCTTAAAATTGCTACTCCAATATCCTATAAAAAAGCTTGTGAAGGCTTACTGTGTTCAGAATTTTCAGCATGTTTCTATGTCATTGTGAATGTGAGTCATGACTATACAAAGTCTGTTTGATATCATTATCAACTCTATATAAACATCACACAACATAAAAATGCTTAATCTTTTTCAGGAGTACTTTTCAGAATGTTGAATTCTCAAAAAGACTACTGTTTTTATATTATGCACATTGCAGTGTAGTCAAAGACATTATGCACAGCTGATGGAGTTTGAGAAAGGCCTCTTCATTCGTCTGAGGGGAACAGAAAGGTCATTTTGTTGAATTGTTTGCCATCTGGGCCATTCTAATCTGACTGTGACATGGCTTTGAGGCAATGGCTACATGAAGACTTATATATATCTGGTAGGCAGATTCTGAATGTCTCAGACAGACCACCAAGATGATTGTTTGATCAAGAGGCAACACAAATACAGTAGAGCGTCAATTATCCGAAATAATTCCAGTCGGCAAATTTAAATTTTCGCCAGTGCTGTGGCGCTGCAATCTTTGGCTATGTTTTCGGCTACTCAAATATTTTACGTTTTTGATACTAAATTAACTTCTAAAGTATAATTTTTTATTGTTTTTATATTTTTCAATATATTTATTTTGTTTGTATAAAATAAAAAAATAATTTTTAACGATACAATAGTCTTTGTTAGGCTTAATGTCGATGAAAATTCAATGCGAAGTGACACGCAATGGAGAAAAATTTCAACATGGGATAGGTTAATATATTTTTTCGTACATAATTGGTTATCCGAAATATCAATTTTCTGAACAACCC